CACTCACTCACTCACTCACTCACTCACTCACTCACTCACTCACTCACTCACTCACTCACTCACTCACTCACTCACTCACTCACACACACACTCACTCACTCACTCACTCACTCACTCACTCACTCACTCACTCACTCACTCACACTCACTCACTCACTCACTCACACACACACATATGTGTGCTACGTGTACTGTGCTTGGCTAACCAAGAATTGTCATAGCTTTTGATTGCTTAAATGTACTATGGGTTCGCAGACCATCGGCTGTGCAGGATTGTGGCATCTTCGAACATTCTGTGATCACTATGGGGAATGATGTCAAGTTGACCATTATGGTGGACGGCTTATGTATAGCGGCCCATAGAAACAGTTGCTAGGGTCTAGGGTCCTGGCTCAGCCAGGGATTGCTCGACAGTGACGGCGCTACACGGAGGCTAGGGGGCGCTATAGCCCCGTCAGAATTTAAAAGAAGATCAGATGACAAAATGTTTGTGAATTTGTGCATTTTAATGTGTTTGGAAGACAAACGCCTTCCAAAGTAATACACAGTAAAATAACTGAGTGATAATTCAAATAAAAATGAATGTGTTCATCAGTAGTTGATGCAATTTTGAAACACTTCTTAAACCTGAAATGATTTTTGTAAATCAGAAGCCAAATGCTGTGTGGCACCTGACTAATGACTGATCTCTGAGTGAATGAAGACTTTCTGAGTCTATGTGAGCGGTGGGATATTTGAGAGAGAGATGAAAAAGAGGAGTTAGGGAGAATCAATAAATGATGAATAATTTATTCCTATTGTGTAAATAATATGTAATCATGTAATCCATAAAAAGTAACTGTAATCTGATTACAAGTATTTTAAGATGTAATTTAATAATTTTTCCCTGAAACATGTTATTTGAATGTTCATCTCATGTTGTTGTTTTAATGTTACTACTTGTTTCAAATTGTTCAGAGAACATTAAAAAGTAACGTTCCCATAATGTTTGCCCAATTATGAAATGGAAAGTTCCTTCAATTTTCGTATAAACAAGAAAAAAAGTTTTTATTAGCTATGTTTTTTCTTGGCCATCTCTTAACATTATTTTTCAGATATTCAGAAATAACATTTTACTAACATTTACATTTATGCATTTAGCAGATGCTTTTATCCACAGCAACTTACAGAAGAGAAACAAAGCAATGTGTGAACTTGATGGAGACGTTAGCAGAACGTTCTTAGAACATATTTTTAATGGTTTAATCTTATTAACATTTATTAGTTATGTAACAATACCTTACCTCTTCTTATTGCATTCCCTGTTAATTCTGTTTTCATATAGCGCATTCACTTTATATTTACTGTGTAGTTCTGCTGTTTTTGTGCACTGAAAGCTTCTTCTGTCCTTGTGTGTGCAAACATACTTATCAATAAACCTCTTTCTAGCTCTGATTCTCATAACCGTATGTTCAATGTTTGAAATCCCATTCAAGTATGAAATAACTCCAGGACAAAGAGAGCGATTGAGATCATGCTGAGTTTTTATTGAGCATCAGGAGTCAGACTGGAGCGTTCTGAACATCTGGAATGAAGCTCCGGCTCAGAAAGAGCAGCGACAGTTGAACACAGAACGTCATCGGTCGCCTCTAAATGCACAATGACACTTTAAGGGAGATTAAACTTTGATTTGGTTTCTAAAGATCTTCTGGTCCTGCTGAAGTAAACTATGCTATTCATGATATCAGCGTTTCTAAACGAAGGAGGTAGACAGAAGCGTATCTCTCTCTCGTGTCTCCTGCAGCAGATCCTCAGTGTTTGGCGTCAGATTTCTGGAAGAGCGGGCGTAGCTGCTCCGCGGTCGTGGCCTCCTTCTGCTGCATGAGCTCGGCGTGACCTCTGGTGACCCCCCAGCCGTCAGGAGTGGACATGGAGGGACACAGCGGGCGACCGGACGCCGGCTTCAGCCGCTCCCAGTAATCACGACGGGCCCTAAACCACACATCAGTCCACAGTCATTCATCACTGGTACTAGTGCTCAGAGTGCAGTGTTGGGTAAATAACACCTTCAACAGTGTAATTAGATTACCGCACTAATTACTCTCTCTTACATTACTAATTACTTTCTAAATGTAAGTAATTATATATCTGAATGTTTCGTGTCTATCCTCGTATTGTTTAACTTGACGAGCAACCTCGACTAGTTGAACAACACGAAATGCTCTTTTAATTCTTTAAAATAAATAATATAAAATTGCATGAAGTATTCTAGAACTGTCCAAAATATTTACAGGAAGAAGGTTACATTAAACGCATACATTTTAATATTAGATGCTACATTTTGATGTTGAATCCACTGTTGTGCTGCTTATGACTGGCTTTGTGCTGCAGGGTCACAAATAGAAAAATAAAGTTAAAGTTAATGCAAGATATCATTGCTTTTTCATGCACTGGTCAGTTTTGAAATCTATTTTGCTTCCATAACATGTCGTCTTTCAGACTAGTGGACTGACAGCATCCAAAACACACATTCAAGTGCTTATTTTATTTATATTAATTCCAATCCATATCTTTAAAGAGTTTTTTTCTCTCTTACACACACCAAACTTTACAGTTTTATTCCTCTCTATATTCTGAGGGTTTGTTCATATTTCATTTACATAACATCCAAAGAAATCCAAAATCCCCTCAGGAAAAACCTTTAACATTTGATCTTACCACCAAGAGTTCTCCTAAAGAGCAGTACAAGTTTTTAGCTAAGAGTTTTCTCTTAACACCTATTCACAGAGCTGCTGAGACTAACTTGTACTGAGGAATAGAGAGAAGAGCTCAGAGTAAGAGCTCGTTGCTATGATGATGTCAGCATGCTCATTAACTATGCACACAGTGATTGGCTGATAGTCTCTGTCAGAGATTTATTCATATGTTGCCACATTCAAATAAAGATGTTAAAATGCAGGCTAAGTGTCACTAATTAAACATGTATATGTTCAGCTAATTGTCAGCCTCTTGCATGCATGCTTCTCAAAAACAATTAGTGAATATGCATATAAACAGCCTTTTAATGAACAGAGTAGAAGAATCCTGGCTGATAGTAAGACATGCAAATGTAAAAGAAACCCAAACTGGACGCAAGAACAGCTGGGACTTCTTGCCTTTCTAACTAACTGGTTAATACAAACAAGGATATAATCAAAGGACATGTGTAGTTGGGCATTTTTAAAAGCTCATTATTGTCAGATGTTTCTAAAGTGTTTGTTTGGAGGCAGAAGCTATTTTAGGATAGTTTGAGGGACTGCTCTTCACTGCTCCTGACCTTTCACAGATGTAGGAGCTAGTTTTAGTGCTCAGACACTTTGTGAAACACTCTTAGAGCAAAAATGTAGGAGTCCTTAATTTAGGACTGACACACCCGATATTTTAAAGATGTTCTCCTGAATCGGCGAGTTGTGAGCTACTTTTAGCCTGAAGATGTTTTGTGAATACGGGCCCAGATGAACTTTGAACGCTACTGGAAGAGATTTTTTCCATAACTTTGAAAGAGCTTTTCTAGACTGTTATCTGGGGCCCGTTTATTTACGGCGCGTCTCACCGGCCTCTGGGTGCTCAGCAGCGGCCTCTGGAGTCCAGGGTCCGGCCTTCACATATCCTCGCTTCTCCAGCGCGAACACGAAGCCTCCGTCTCCAATCACCACCTCACCCGCGTCCAGGCGCTCCAGAACACCCTGGACACACACACACACACACACACACACAGGTTTGTTTTTATGGTTTATGGGGACTCTCCATAGGCGTAATGGTTTTTATACTGTACAGACCGTATATTCTATTGCCCTACACCAACCCTACCCCTAAACCTACCCCTCACAGGAGACTTTCTGCTATTTCAGATTTTCAACACACTCCATTCCACGCGCACACACTGACACATACACACACACACACACACTCTCTCACACACACACACACAGGTTTGTTTTTGTGAAAAGTGGGGACTCTCCATAGGTGTAATGGTTTTTATACTGTACAGACCGTATATTCTATTGCCCTACACCAACCCTACCCCTAAACCTACCCCTCACAGGAGACTTTCTGCTATTTCAGATTTTCAATACACTCCATTCTGTGTGATTTATAAGTGTTTTGAAAAGTGGGGACATGGGGTAATGTCCTGAAAAGTCACCTTCTCCTTGTAATACCTGTCATACCTTTGTCATTATACACATTTATGTCCTCATTTGTCACAAAAACGCGTACACACACACACACACACACACACACACACACACACACTCTCAGTCACTCACTCACACACACACACACACACACACTCACTCAGCACTGCGCGATATCAGGTCAAAACACACACGCATTCACCGCAGAGAACCGTGCGCAACCGCGGATCAGGGTGCGAGTGCGCTCTCCAAGCGCGTTTTATTCCATCTATAATCGCATTAACACACACTTTAACACAAGTTGAGTGTTTCTGTTCATGTGTGTGAGACAGCTGATATATTAATAGCTGGAATAAATATAATCCTGCAGCAGGATCTCATGCGTCGCGGCGCGTTCGCGCTCTTAATTTAGAAACAACGCGCTTAAAAACCTAAAAACTGGACTGAAGAATCGCTAAAAGTGTCTAAATCTGAAACTCACCCTCTTTGATCCGACTGGTGCCATGTTTAGCAGGAGATTCAGAAACAGATGGAGATCTTCAGGAGAGCTGAGTGAGACTAGAGAGAAATCCTCAAGAGAAGAGCGCTTATAAAGCACCGCTGGAGGGGTGTGTGTGTGTGTGTGTGTGTGTGAGTGTGTGTGAGTGTGAGTGTGTGTGTGTGTGTGTG